GTGTGTGTGTGTGTGCTGGGGAGGTAATGTGTACACTGGTGTGTGTGTGTGTGTGTGTGTGTGTGTACTGGGGGTAATGTGTACACTGGTGTGGTGTGTGTGTGTGTGTGTACACCTGTGTGGATTCCAGAGATAATATCATGTGTCTTCCTTAACTGTTCTCCATCTTAGTTTCTGAGACTTTATCTCTCCTGAACCTGGAGTTGAACAATTTCATAATCTAAACTCAAGTCCCCAGGCTTCTCCGACAAGCACTTTGCTAAGCCATCTCTTCAACCCCTGGAGAAATAAGTCTTCTCTCTGTGACTCTCGTGTCTCTTGAATGAAGTTACCGAAACAAGTTTATCATCAGAAAGGTTTTACCTCTCACTGTGTCTGTAAAATGGCTTATCTTAGAGGGTTGTGATAATTTATAAAGTCCCGCACCTAAGGAGCACTGTTCTAGCTGGCTTACTGATCTAAGTAAGTGTTAAAACAAGTGGAAAGCCATGCTCACCGGTGCACACCTTTAACCCCAGATCAGAAGACTTACATAGCAGGCACTATAGAAGATCAGAGCTAGCCTGAACTACAACTATCTCAAAAAAAAAAAAAAGTAAGTCACTTAGTGAACTATTTGAAATACCAAGAGAATAAGAAAATTGGACTTTAACTACATTAAATGTACTGGTTGTAAAAAAAAAAATCAAAAATTCTTCCTACCAAAATTAACTCAGAAATGCCTAAATGCTCAATATTACACAACAGCAGAACTTTGGTAAACAACCCTCGTTTGACAAATTATTTATAAAATTGGCTATTTCTTATCTTTGATCATTTTATTCAACTAAGATTTCCCTATCAATTTACTTGATGACTAACTAAGTTAGCATTACTCTAACAGTATTAAGATGATGAAAAAAGCAAGTTTATGCTCAAATAAACTGAGTCATTTCTTTTTAATATGTCTAAAAATAATTACCAAGATCTTCAAGTAACTTTAAAAGCTAGATATTTAATTAATAATCATTCAATCATCTGGTTGTTAAGTACAACAGAATACTTAAACACAACTAAATTATATACTTTTGTTTCTCCTTTTCCCATGTCCTGTGGAGGCTTTATTTCTGTCTAGGACAGCTCACGCAAGTGTTCACGTCTCGGCTTTGTGAAGCGTGTGAAGGATGTTTGTAGCTACAGGGGCTCATGTGCTCATCAGCTTTACTGCCCGACTGTAGCATTGCCCCAGTAGTTTTGATATGAAATATATTATTGGGCAAAAGTTAAAATTATAATCAGTAGTTTAAAAGCATACTAGGAAAAATAGGGACAGAGAATGCAACTGTGCTTTTGTGTGTTTTTAACACATTTTTTCCCAGAGTTGGTGGCCAATCTTTGTAATTTCAACATTCAGAAAGCTGATGGAAGAGGACTATAGTGAGTTCCAGGCTGGTCTGGGCTCCATAGTAAGTATGAGGGAGAAAAAAAAAGAATTCTCAGTTTTTTTTGTTCCTGTTCACACTCTAAAAACTTACAGAAAAGTCTACAAAGCTTTTGCTTCTATAGATTACAGCTAACAATATTACTGCATTAAAGATTAAAATGAGGAGCAACAAAATGGCTCAGTATGTAAAAGTACTTGCTGCACAAGCCTGACAGGAACCCAAATAAAACTCTGTGAGTTCCACATGCACACCATGACATGTGCCCATGCACACCAAGCATACACACACACATTCACACACACACACATACACAATCACACATGGGGGCACATCATATACACACAGAAGCATAATAATAAGTTACATTTAAGTTTTAAAAAAATCAAGCCATGTCAGGACATGCTAACACACACTGTAATTTCAGCATTCAGAAGACAGAAACAGAATAATTACTTGAGCCCAAGAAGTTGGAGACCATCCTCAGTAATACAGTAAGACACCCTCATCAAAGGGAAAGAAAGAGGGGGAAGGGTAAAGAGGCAAGGAGATGAAATGAAATGAAATAGAAAAAGAACTTATTATAGAATTGGATCATTTATTCTGAAAAATAAGAACCACCATGTTAGGCTCTGTGTAAGCTGGAGAACCAGGACCAGGAATACAATTCTGGGAAAATCAGGCCTGGGAACCCCAGGGACTCCTATGAGTCCAAGAGTACAAAAGGATTCCAGAAGCTCCAGTACCCAAAGACAGAAGATCCATGCCCCAGCACAAGAAGAGGAAACTCAGGAGCTGGAAAGAAGGCTCTGTGGTTAAGAGCACTGCCTGCTTTTCCCAGGTTCAATTCCCAGAACCCACACACTGACTCACAACTGTCTGTAACTCCAGCTCCAGGAGATCAGACACCCTCAGCACCAGGCTCACATTTAGTGCATGCAGGAAATTCACTCATACACATAAAATAAAATTAAAATAACTTCAAGAGAGAGGGAGAACTCATCTTTCCTCTGCTATCTCATCCTGTTAGACTCTCCTTATTACTAGATGAGGTACACACATATTGGTGAGGTGGAAAGAACTGAGGGAGGCTACAGCAGGAATCACAACCCTATCTATAATTCAGGTCTTAAATAAGAGAAAATCTGAAGTAACACTGACGTACAGTAAAGCCATACGGTAGGCCCTTGCCGTCACGAGATTATTCTCTAGTATACGTCAAGGTGTTTGACTATCTCCCCCAACCATCCTAAGTGGGTAAATATGGGAAAGAAGAGAACTGGACACTAGTGTTTTATTTGTTTTGAGTTAAAATCATTGTTTGGGCGGTGCAAGCCTATAAGCCCAGCAGCTGGGAAATAGGCAAAACATCCTACAAATTCAGGACTGGCCTGGTCTATTTAGCAAGCTCAATACACTAAGCTACAGTTATTTTGTCTCAAATCAGCAACAACAACAAAAATCTCCTAATCTGACTTAGACAAAACATAATTTAAAAGTTGACCAGGAATGGTGGCACAAACCTTTAATGTCAACACACAGAGATAGATCTTTACATGTTCAAGGCCAGCCTGGTCTACACCACGAGTTCTAGGATAGCCAGCACAATATAGTGAGACAGTCTCAAAAAAAATTTTAAACCTGCTGACTTTTATAGGCCTCTGTTATGGGGTGATGGCCAATCCTGGTGTCTGAGTCATTCCTACGATCCAACAAAGAGACTTGGTTTCCAGCCTCCTGAAGACCAGGAATAACACAGCAATATAAGGACTCATTGTCCATCCCACCATCATTGGCTGGGTAACTACCAAAACCAAAAGGAAATTTTCTGATTCGTGGCAAATAAAAGCAGTACGGAATCACAAATTAATTGCTTCATGAACATGTTAAGGAATGGCTGTCCCTCTATGAGACTAAAGAAGTCCTTCAGTAGAATCTAGATATCACCAACTTTTCTTGGAGTCTGATTCGTATTTTACTAGTATATATGTAAAGTCCGATGAAAATATTCATATAAATAAATTAAGAAAAGGTACTGATGAGGCCTTCCCATAGCATGGCAGAACTTTGTATAATAAAAGCATATAGCCTGTCTATTGAGTGCTTGGAGGTAGAGATACAGCAGAGAACAAATAGGTATGGTCTCTCATGTTCTGGCTTTCTGGGCATCTCAACACTTCTTCCCACTCTACAAACATGGAAACAAGGCCAAGGGGGTTAAATGATTTTTGCTGTCATCAGTGGCAGGTCTACGGGAAAGAAAATACACCAGATGAACTGACTCATTGAGGTAAAGTGAATTTGCAACTCAAACCGACTTCACTTTATCTACACTTAACGTCGAGAAAACACAGTTCTATTTCCAGGAGTATATCCTGAAGAAAGACTATTGAAAAGGCACAATTCGTCTCAAATTCCCTAAATGAACAACAAGTTCATTCATCCTAACCGCGAAAGAAGAGACCTTAATTCTTGGAGAGTGTGTAGCCCAGTGTTAATGGTTCTGTATCGGTACCAGCTAATACTCTATTGGGACAGCAAGCATCCCGTCTGGTATCGAATATTCATTACCTGGTACTATTCCTAAAGAGAATGGGTTAGGACCCATTTTTAAACAAACCGAAAATTTAACGCAAAATTAACCAAATGCTTGTCAATAAGTAAAAGCTTCCTGTCCCAAGAACATCGTCACCCCAGCGTGAACCCTAGCCATCGGCTCCTCCCCTGCAGCCCACGCTCGCGTCTCGCCCAAGGAGAAGGGTGCTGCAACCAGGGAGGAAGGTGCTGGCGTCTCCCGCTCGATTTCAGTTCTCCCACGCCCGGGGTAGTCAGGGCGCCTGGGTTTCCTCCAGAGCGCAGCTTGGCACCCGGGTCAGTCACGCCGGCCGCCGGCAGGTGACCTTCGTACCCAGCAGAGCCGACAGCCTCGCCGCCGACACACAGAGCTCGGGGTCAGGGCCGCGGCGCCTCAAGGCCCCAGGTTAGGGCGGCTCCCCGGGTCACAGACACCCCAGCAGCCACACCCACAGGCGGCTCAGTGACAGGTGCCCGGGCCCTCCGGGTCCCGCAGCCCACGAGCGCC